ACAATATTTTCATAAATAATCCTGAGAATAATATAGGGAGCAGCAATATCGTGTCCAATACAGATGTGCATAATTATTAACATCGCACTGTAAACCATTCTTTCCAAACAACAAAACTAAGGTTCGTGACTATTCTACTTTCAATGCAAAATCTTTCATTGACGACTTGCAGAATATTAATTGGAATAATAAATTATTTGCAAACATACCGATGCCAGTCAATCATTCTCCAGGTTTTACAGATGCGTCAACAAGACAATTAACAAACACGCCCCTTTAAGAAGTATATCCAATCGTAAACAAAAATTCCTCGCTAAAACCATGGCTGACTGCGGGTTTAAGAAAATCAATCAGGGTAAAGAATAACCTCTTCTATACCTCAGACCGAAACAAATACTAATTTTACAGAAATAAAATCATCTATCTTACGAGATTAAATACTAAAGCGAACTACTAGCAAAGTTTCTTTGATCTCAATAATTATATGTAATATGCATCAAACTTGGAAAGGAATTAACGAGCTAATTGGAAACTGTAAAAAGAAAAACAAGTGCAACTCAACTAACTCTATTCGCTCAAACCCGAATGAGGTTCCAACTAGTGACCCGAAGGAAATGAGCGATATTCTTAACAAATATTTCGCCACTGTTGGGAGCAAACTGGCTTCTAAAGGTCCGCCACTTAATCGCACTTTCTTCTTTGATCCTATTATTCCGGAAGATATCAATTTAGAAATTTCCATTTTGCAAGACAACAAGGCCCATGGTCTCTAGTCATCTCCAGTTAGGCTGCTGAAATTGGCAGAAAGGGTCATATCCGGTCCGTACCTCTAGCCACGATTTTTAATCAGTCTATTTGCTCAGGGATTTTTCCATCTAAACTAAAGTGTGCTAAGATTATCCCGATATTTAAGGACGAAGATGACACGCTGCCCGAAAACTACCGACCTATTTCTCTGCTCTCGATTTATAACAGGATTTTTGAAAAACTTATGTACTCCAGAGTTACCAAGTTTGTCAAAGATTGCAACATTCTCTATGATCAGTAATACGGTTTTCACAGTAAGCACAGTACTCTGCATGCTATATTTGATATTGTTAACACAATCCTCCAAAATATGGACAATGGTAAATTTTCGTGCGGTGTTTTCATCGATCTCAAGAAGTCTTTTGATACTGTTAACCATGACATTTTGTTAGCTAAACTTGAAAATTATGGTATTAGAGGTGTAATCAACTCCTGGTTCAGATCATACCTGACTGATCGAAAGCAAACTATGGAAGGTAATAATGTTGTGTCTGAGGCTGAGACGACCTTGTGCAGCATGCCACAAGGCTCAGTCCTCGGACCACTCTTATTCCTACTGTATATCAATGATATTTACAAGTCCCCTTCGTTATTTACCTTTTATCTATTTGCTGACGATACTAGTATATAATAATACTTGCAAATATCAACCTAAAGGGACTCAAAACACTTGTTAATCGCGAGCTTGGCATGTCAACGAATGGCTAAAGGCCAACAAACTGTCTTTGAACATAAAAAAATCAAATTTTGTAATCTTTCGTCCCCGGCGAAAGAATATGCCCTTCATACCTAGGATTATAATTCTTGACTCCAGGACTAACACCTACTCAAACCTTGAAAATGAAAGATTATGTTAAATATCTTGGCTTACTGATTGATTCAAATCTTTCATGGAAATACCACATCGAATCTATCTGTCACAAAATCAGCAAGTCAATAGGAATTATAGCTAAGATTCAACATTATGTCCCACGTCATGTTTTACTTTCAGTTTACAACTCATAATTAATTTATTTTCCCCTACTTGACTTATGGTATTTTTGGTTGGGGAAACTGTGCCTTGACATTTCAAGGAAAGATCGTAACTCTACAAAAACGGGCCTTACGTCTCATTTACTTCAGTAAGTCTAAGGAACACGCAGTACCCTTCTTTCTCAAATCAAATTGCCTTCCCCTGCCTAGCCTATTTTTCAGAGATTGTAGTTATTTATTGTATGATATCAACAGACAGACAGACAGTACCAGTTAGTATACTCAATCAGTTCATTAAAACAAGTCAGATTCATAACTACAGAACAAGATCGATCTGTCTCTAGGCGACTCGTTTTATGTTAAGTTCTCTAGAACCGATAAAATGAATGCCTTTTCCACAAGAATCGATGCCCAAATTTGGAACCCTATTCCTTATTCGATTAAAATACTTAAACGTTCGTCCTTTCGTAAAAAAATAAAGGAATTATTACTAAATTTCTTGCGGTCAGAAGATGATTCTGTCGAAGTCTCCCGTCTTATTAAGTTATCTAATAGTTTAGGTTATAAAACTAGCCTCTCTTCGTAATCGTTATGTACTTGCCTTGTTTTATGTTAGTTTAAATTCTATTTACTGTATAGTAGTGTCTTCACTGTTATTTAGTCCATCTATATATAAATCTTGTTTTGTAATATGTCTTCAGCTCCCCCCGCCTTGATTAGTTTATAAGCTATTTCCGGGTGGGAAAGTAATGTAATTAGTTATTTTCCAATTTTCAATAAAATTTGTTGTTGTTGTTGTTGTTGTTGTTGTTGTTAAAGGTCCTTCACAGTTGCCAGATTGGCTAACAAGTTGAATCAATATACAGTTATTGTCAAAGAACTGGATTACAACACAAGAAGAAAACAATGGACAATAAAAAAGTTAAGAGAAATAGAAATGCCTACAAGGCTTTTGTACAGAAAACAATAGAAGGTGCAACCAGGATCTCATCATCAAAGAACTGGATTACAACACAAGAAGAAAACAATGGTCAACGAAAATGTAAATGCCCACAGAACTTTTGTGCAGAAAACTCCCCAAACAAAGATTCAAAAAGAAAATAACCAAATCCTTATTTCAGATCTTACTTAAACTGGTCAATTATGTCAACTGATATAGATATGCTATTGAATGAAATGAAAAGAATTTAAAATTTATCTTCCTAGCTATAATGCTTGAGACTACATAAGCTGGTAATCCAACATTGTACATATCTTTTTATCCTTCCTTTAGCCTCTTATTTATGATAATATATTTATAGTAATTATTTACCATAATTATTTATTATCTTGTAACTTTTTTTGTAGTAATATTGTAATTTAAGTGTCAGTGATATGTCTCCATACTACCTGCCTCGATTAGCTTTGCAATTTGCAGGTAGTCTCTACTTGTAATTTATCGATTATCATCCAAAAATAAAGTTGTTGTTGTCGTTGGAGTCAAGTTGATCACATGGAAGATTCATCAAGGGAAAAACTTATGGGATTGAAATTAACCGTGAACAGAACTGCTCGACACTATTCAAAATCTGGATGAAACAATTCTGAAAAAACACCAAGGCAAGAGACATTGAGAAAGAAGTCAATGATTCTGGAGAGGAATTTTGGCTGGGATTGCCTGAGTTTAGAGGAAGCTAAAAGTAGCGGACACACGGAAACTTCACCAAGCTTCATTCAAGATAATAACAATGTCAAAAGCAATGAGGGTGCAGAAGTGAAACTACGTACCTAAACTAGAACTTAAGTAATTTTTATGGACCTTATTACAATAAATGGCAGAGTTTCTGGGACATGTTTGAATTTGTGGTTAACAGAAACATTGACATTTCAAGAATCCAAAAAATTCACCTACAGTGTATTTGAAGAGTTGTGGGACAGGTGCAGCCGAATCTGCAATAATATAATATTACTGGGTTGCCTCTTGCTGAAGATGATTTTGGAAACAGTCATTAATATTCTAAGAGATAGATTTCGTAAGCCACAGTTGTTGATTTCTTATCACATTGGTAGCTTTGTTGAAATTGGCAATACCTTATTATAGGAAATTAACGCTCCATGAAATTAACGCGAATCGTTAAAGTTCGTGTTAATTTAAGTTGCGTTAATTTAAGTTGCGTTAATTTTGTTGAGCGTTAATTTCCGCGACGTTAATATTTAGTGCAGCGTTAATTTCCACGCTCTTAATTTCCAGTATTTAAAATCCAGGTTTGGAACCTGTCCAGACATTCTTGACACCTAAAAAACATCAACTACAAGCTTTCTTTCTTTCCATTTACCCTTTATTTTTCATCTTTCACAAAAGCTAAGGCAAAGGTTTCCAATATTTCGAGTTCATCTTCATCGCTGTCGCTGTCAGAAGTGATGTCAGCTCAGTTTTGCAGAGTTTTGATTTTTTTTGCATCCACTGTTGAAATAAATAATTTATTTCAACACTGGATGCAAAAAAAATCAAAACCCTGGAACAAAATTATTTGTTCCAGTTGTCACCACTAACACTGTCTTAATCGCGTTAATTTCCTTTATTATGAAATTCTACCTCTTCTTTCGCGTTAATTTTCAATACCTTAATTTCATGGAGCGTTAATTTCCTATAATAAGGTAGTCAGTTCAGTGCGTGGAATGAACAAACTATGTGATGTGTATGACAACAATGAGATTAACATTCAAAGTTTGAAGGCACTGAGCATCGAATCAGAGTCTTTTGGAAATTTGATAATTCAAGTTATGTGATGGCTCTCAAATATTGTAATGCAAGAAAAAGAAATGTTGGCTGTGGTATTTGCTTTGCAGAAATGGCATCAGTTTGCTTTTGGTCGTCATTTTATTGTGAGAACAGACCACAAGCTACGTGAGGCGGTCAAAAGGAAACGTCTTAAATATTATAGGGCACCAAGGTGCCTGGAAGGTATGTTGCTTAGAAGTCTGGCCTATGACATAGAAGTGCAGGCTTTTCAATAAGAGCCAGTGGCCAGTGAAATTTGCCGGTAATTTCTCATGAACTCGCCACCTTCTTTTCTTTGGAAATTACCCCAGTTTAAATGCACAACACCGCTGCGACAATTCATCAACTCCTTTCCACCATGCCCAACTACCTGGAGGAGCACCCATAAACTTTCTCCTATTTTCCGAGATCCTTCCACATGACCGTGAATCTTTCCTTCCAATAAACAAACCACTTGCCGAACATAAGGAGCAGCGAGCACATTATCCCAGTTTTCCGCAAGTGCAGTGCAAAGTACGGCTTTACGATTCTCTCTACAATCCCATATCAGGACTTTACAGCAGATGGGTTTTAACTTTGTACCAGCTAGGAGAATAACAGCTGTGTGATCAGTCTTGATCGACAATTGAAATGAGTGGCACTTGTTGAATAAACCTGGGCGATTAGTAAAGCAGTTATCTAAACACATGTCACCTCTGGTCGGGAAATCTACTAAAGCCTTCTGGCCAGACATGCAGACTTGCAAATTTGTATTTTTTTCTGTATAGAAGTATTAACTTGCTACATGTATAATGTATATTCTTACAGCTGTATCTCCACAGTTTTCTTGAACTTTTTTAACATCACATTATATTTTTGACATTTATTTTAGTGTTTCACACTCTTTTAAAATATCAGCACATGCATTCATTCCAGTGTGTGATACTCCCGCTCACTGAACCCTTCTGCAGTATAAATAAAGTTGTTGTTTTTTGTTTCTTTTGTTTGTTTTCTTACTAGCAGTCAAACTTTTCAGCCTAGGGATCAAGCCATCTACATGCATATCGTCAACTGGATCACTGAATGTTTAAGGGACAGCTAGCTTAGCTTTCCCACTAGTGTCCCTCAAAGGGCGTAGCTTAACCATAGTGTTTCCAGGTGTTGATTACTGATTTGAAACTACCAGACGCGAAATTTCTCATGTGGAAGTTTGTGGATGACACGACCATCTCAAAAATATCACCTTCTTATGAGGGAAGCCATTTACAAGATGCTGCTTCAATAGCAACAACTGGTTAAAAGAACACAGCCTTCAGCTCAGTCCAACCAAGTGTGGTAAAAGAACTAGTGGAACCTTCAAACATCTCTCCCTCAGGCTGTACTTTATAGGGTGGTATTCAACAGAGATGTCTATGCAAAAATACTCAGCTTATGAAGAGTGATGATCTCAAATGGAACAATCATGTAGTCTGCATCAGAAACTCACCCTCATTCAATAATACATGTAATTTTTATACGACAGGTTCTTGTATTAGTTTGATCATCATTTCCCACCTTTTTTTGGATGGAGATTGATATGGATTTTAGGATTGCAACAGCCAGTAACAACATGTTATACAGTCATAAGAATGCAATGTGCTTTTCAGTATGAAATAAACAGTCAATTTGATGGATGGATGGATGGATTAACTGATTGTATGATTGACTGATTGATTGATTGATTGATTGATTGATTGATTGATTGATTGATTGAACAAAAAATACCAAGTAGGATTATTATTGATGGATTTGAATCGGCTGAGCAAGTAAGACCTTGTTGGAATGACCAGAAACCATTCAGGATGAATTTTGAAAAGACCAGGCCATCTCAAGGAGTATGAGACTTAAACACTTGCCACTGAACATTGAACTTTAAACCTGCTACTGGCATTTTTGGGTATCTGTTATTGATGACCAGAGGTTGTTTCTATTGAACGTAGGCTCTTAAACACATGATACGCATGAAGACACTTGTTTCAGAACAATGTACAGGTCTACTATGCATGATTTAGCCTTTTTTTTCCTTTTTCATGATTTATTAGGATTTGGTGCTTTAGTTTTACTTTGTTCTTTTTTTCATCTTGGGGAGGATGTGACATGATGCGTGACATGTTATTACATCACTGATTCCCTGTATGTGTGGTAGCGTTGTCGTAAAAACCTTGTGCTTATGAACAGTCTGGAATATCCCTAAATTTAAGGACAGGGCCAACTGGTCACACGACACTTTTCGACCAATGAGAAGGCGCGCTTGTGTTTATCAACAAACAAATCAAAACATTGCCCCAGTGATCAAAAATCTTCAAAACAACGGACGGAGTCGGACAGAATCAGTCATCGTTTTGAGGCTCTCAGGCATTTTTTAAGACTTTTCATGAGGCATACACAATTTTTTTGTTAAGAGGACAGTGTATCGGAAGCCATATTGGAAGTGTCTCATGAAATATTCAGCACACTTTGTGGCTTATTTCTTCTTTTATCTTTTACACAACGCGATGTATAGGCAAGATTTTGGTCGGTTTTCAAGGTAGGTGAACAAGTATCTATTATTTTTTCGATTCACAGATTTCTTACGAAGTTCTAGATATTTTTCCTTGATTGTCATATCGTTTAACTTTTATCATGTTGAATGTGGGGATGGTAGACAACCTAGAATTTTGGTAGACAATTTTTGAATTCCCAGGTCCAAAACACATACGTTTTCCACTCCCGGGTTTCTCACAGAACCGTGTTATTACTTTTTTCACATTAGTACGAGCCTTTGCCTTTTTCTTTTCAAGGCCTGCAACATCTCGCCTCACTTTGCCAAATTTGCGGGCATGAAATTGAAGATCATAAGCGCAAGGTAGATACTAACCGCTTTGTTTCTGAAATTCACTAACCTGGAAAGATTTATGTTGTTGGATTCTCCAAATGTTCATCCACCGTTAAAAAACAATCAAAGAACGAACGCAAATCTCAATTGTAAATGATGTATTTCGCTACTCATTGAACATGCACTGATTATCTGGGATAAAATATTTCAGGTACTACAGCAAGCAAAGAAAGCACCAGATGCATGAAGTCAACACGAAACAATACAAAAAAACAAACAAGAAAAATTAATAAATTTGAACTACTTCCTATTCTTGTTATGATGACTGGTTCTTTGATTCTTGTCCTGTAGAAGTTAATATGTAGGTAGTACCAATCCTGTTTTGTGCGATCTCAACAAATTTTTACACTCTCTCTAAGGCTATTTTTACACGGGACCAGTTTGCTTCTATCAAAAATCTTGCAAGCCATGCCAGTGAAGCCACGACCTCTGCAATCAGTCCGGAATCAGTTCGAACACCCCAATGATTCCTTGCAATGATTAATGCTCTTATTCTCTTACATGAAATGTTTTCTTTGAAATATTAAATGTGAAACCTAGGTCACAAGTACTGTAAGCTCATCTTTAATTCTGTCAGACTCCGTCCGTTGTTTTGAAAATTTGTTTGTTGATAAACACAAGCGCGCCTTCTCATTGGTTGAAAAGTGTCGTGTGACCAGTTGGCCCTGTCCTTAAATTTAGGGATATTCCGGACTGATGAATGGTCTTGTGATTCATAGTTCTGTCTCTTTTTTCGGTTTTCTGCATTTTTAGACAGTGATCAAAATCAATTTTCTTCCATGAATGTCACCACAAAATCAAACAGAAAGGTAATCGGATTTAATAATGATCAAAAAGGCCGGCAGCTGTTGGCCAGAGTACCTTTCAGTATGCAGCCACTTAAGATGGAAGAGTCTTCTGAAACTAATTACATCAATTAACTCTTTTCCCTTTTTTGCAAATTAATTTGTATTTTGTTCTGAACAGCAGTATTAACTTGCTACATGCATGATTTTATCTCCACAATTATCTTGAACTTGTTCCAACTGTAACTTGCTTATCCATTTTATTTTTGACATTTATTTTAGTGTTTTACACTCTTTTAAAATATCAGCACATGCATTCATTCCAGTGTGTGATACTCCCGCTCACTGAACCCTTCTGCAGTATAAATAAAGTTGTTGTTTATTGTTTGTTTGTTTGTTTTCTTACTAGCAGTCAAACTTTTCAGCCTAGGGATCAAACCATCTATACACAGTCAACTGGATCACTGAATGTTTAAGGGACAGCTAGCTTAGCTTTCCCACTAGTGTCCCTCAAAGGGCGTTGCTTAACCATACCACTTTCAGGTGTTGATTACTGATTTGAAACTACCAGACGAGTACTTTCTCATGTGGAAGTTTGTGGATGACATGACCATCTCAAAAACATCACCTTCTTACGAGGGAAGCCATTTACAAGGTGCTGCTTCAATACCAACAACTGGTTAAAAGAACATAGCCTTCAGCTCAGTCCAACCAAGTGTAGTAAAAGAACTAGCAGAAAGTTTTTAAAGATCACCTTCCATCATCTCTCCCTCAGGCTGTACTTAACAGGGTGGTATTCAACAGAGCTTTCTATGCAAAAATACTCAGCTTATGAAGAGTGATGATCTCAAGTGGAACAATCATATAATACAGGTAATTTTTATACCGCAGGTTCTTGTATTAGTTTGATCATCATTTCCCACCTTTTTTTGGATAGAGATTGATATGGATTTTAGTATTGCACCAGCTAGTAACATGTTATTCAATTATAAGAATACAATGTGCTTTTCAGTGTGAAATAAACAGTCAATTTGATGGATGGACGGATGGATTGAATGACTGATTGAATGCTTGATAAACAATACCAGTTAGGATTATAATTGATTGATTGATTGATAAATAAACAATACCAAGTAGGATTATACTAAGGCAGACAAAAATAACAGTGCGATTGTCAGCCACAAGGACTTTCCTTAATCAGGTATTTCAATTTCATAATTTTTTAATGCTTCATTCAGCAACACAGGACATGATTGTTCACACATCACCACCATAACTACAGCCTGTAGTCAGTTTTCTACCCCATCCAAAAACAACACCTGGAAATTCCTAATTACGTCTGTAAATTGCTTGTGCCATCAGGGGTAGTCACCTTCAGCCAGGATTCAACAATAATGCCCACAACACCAGCATTATTCAGTTCAAATATAATAATTGAGACAAGAGAGCTAGGTGATGGAATAGACAACAGTGCTCCAGCATAAACTGGTCTGAAACGATACAATATGGCTTCAATTTGACAGCCAAGTACAACCATAATCAAACATAACACAAAGCTGCAGGACGCCACTAAAACCAAGCTTCTTTGTTTGAACCCTATGTGTAATGTCAATGTCCGAGATCAAAATATCAACTACTATGCCGGCAAACATCATAAGGCAAAAGTTGGCAGTTTCATCAGAGGTTTTCCTGTCAATTGTTTGCAAGAACGCTGGTTATTTTTATATTGTAGCTGCTAAGATGTTGCCTATATTGCCTAGGCAATGTTGCAGACACAAAACTCAAATACAATTCAGTCTCCTTTCTAGTTTTTTTTTAACAACCCTTCAATCACACCTTCTCCTGACTTGACTAAATCATCACAGCCATCACTCAAGAATTGAACATCTTGTTCATTCAGAGGTGTAGAACATGTTGATGCAGCTTTTGCTTCAGAGGTCATTTTTTCAACTATCTTGTCTTTGAAATTTTTGAAATCGTTTGACAGCTTTCTGATCTTGTCTCAAAACTTGACAATTCTCCCTTTGTAGTGATTGCAAATTATTTTTGTAAAATTGAAGACAGTAACCATGGGGATATCCCAAGGATTAATCGCAAAAAGGCTTTTATAAAAGGAGAAGCACATCTTACATGTAGGAACTTGAATTTATGCATAAGAAAACAATGCAAAAAACTGATTGGATGAGATGAAATTTGCTAATTATGTCATCACAAGAAACTGTAGGTGGTGACAGACCACACACCTTTGCTAGAGTTTAACCTTTGAATTAATTTTTTTCAAAATTAGTATTGTTATTTCAGTAATTTCTCACTTTAAAATTATTGTTGAACTTTAGGTGGGTTATTTGTGACTATAACTTCTTTGTATACATGGATAAACTAGACCAATCTCAATTCCAGACTATCTCCAAGAGTTCAATTTCTCCATTCATGGGTTGACTCAAATTAGATATGTCGGACTTAATCGATTCAAACGTCAATCTCTTCATGTACTTAAATAAAAGCTTTGACATATGAACTGGGCCTAATGCACATGTCATCGGCCTGCCCCAGGGGTAGACCCCGGCCAACCAGGGGAATATGTCAGGGAATACAGGGGGATAGATTGGATTCTCTGCACCTGAGGAGGGGAAGATTCATGACATTGTTTTAAGTTCCAGGGGAAGATGGTGGGGAATTGCAAATTTTGTAAAATCGTGGATGGTAACCATGGGGTTATCACAATGATTACTTGCAAAAAGGCTTTTATAAAAGGAGAAGCATTTAAAACGTCTTTTAAGAACTAACTCAGTTATCTTTGAACAAGGCAAACAAGACCTTGAACAAGGCTACCCTTTAACGCTCATTCAAGAAATACAGAATGAAGTTAAGTTCACCAACAGAAAAGAGCCTCTTTGCAACAAAACAAAACAAACAAAAGAGATTTTACCATTTTGTTACTACCTACAATACCAACAATATTATTTGGCCACACCGAATCTCAAAAAGATTCTCGTGAAACAGTGGGACATCATTCAACAGCAACCCAAGCCAGGGCTTCTGATAGGTCGTGGAAAAAAGGCAAATTTTGCAGGATTTTTAGGGACAAATTCGCATAAAAATCAGCTGATTTTGCAGGAATTTTCAGGATAAACTTCGCTGAAAAGCAATCGGTAAAAAATGGCCATTTTTGTGCTTATTTTCAGGGAAAATTTCACTAGTAATCAATTGGTTTTGCACTGATCAGACCAGCGTTTTTAACGTTCTTCTAAAAGAGGTCGTCATTTGCTCTTTAACAACAATATGCTCCAGAAATGAACCAATGGCAAAGCCTGTAACATCATAGCTAGTGCCCAGTTTTTCGCAATATAATCTATGCCTGGTAGTTTCGGGGATGTTTTTTGCATGTTTCAGTGACAAAGTTTCCAGATAAATTTGCAAATTTACAGCAAGAAAAAGCCCCGATAGCTGAAGTAAGTTTCAAATATGTTGTAGAGACATGTATTTGATATGATTTCTAACGAATTGCGCGGTCTTGTGCGTTTTTTGGTGAATTTTGAGTGATTTTGTGGATTTACCTGAATTTCGCAGTTCTGCGACAGTGCAAAATATCAGAAGCCCTGCTAAGCTTAAACATATCTTTAACCAGCCACCGATTGTCTTTGATCCCTCAGGAAGGAAAAATCTCTCAAGGACATTCTAGTACGTGCGAAATTTCCTTCAATCTCGCAACAATCACAAAATCAATGAAGCAGTTTAAAGCAAACTAGAACTTGGTAATTTCCATACGGTTTCGATACTGACTCCTAAAAACGGCAATCACACATCCATTCATTTTTTGCAAAACAACTGGATCAATATATTTTCAGATCTTTAAAACCTATCACTGAACATTTTTATTACAAACGTAGAAACTGAGGACTTGTAGACTTTATCCAAAAATTCACATGTAAATGAAATACGCCAATGAATAACTGTAACTTTTGAGCATCACGAGATAGATTATTTTCAGAAGTGATCCCAGTAATATGAGGTGGATATCAGAAGTATTTTTCGCTGAGAAGCAATTGACCAAGGGAACTTTGTCTTATTAAATTCCTCCACCCCTGGGGGAAATCCCATTTTACAATCCCCCTGGATGGCCCGGGGGTCTACTCCTGGGGGAAGTCGATGACTTTGCATAAGATAATAATTATAGGTAAAATACTGAAGATTGTAGCGAAAAGTATCATATTTAGTGAAAGAAGACTTACAGACAAAGAATCCCCTTCTTAAGAGAAAATAACTAAAGATATAAGAATGGTAAGATTTCCGTATATCCCGATAAGCTGAGCTCATTATGCATGCAAACATTTAATACGTAGAGTCGAAACATGTAGGCATGATGAATGTATCGGGGTTATAGGGATATCTTACCAAAGATTTTCTTTCTAAACAAAGCAACGAAAGTTACTAAGCAGTTGTTAAAGCTTACCTGTATACATCATTGCAAGAGCCAAGCAACGTTATGGTACTGTCGTACACAGCGAAAAAGGTGGTCAACATTCCAGCGACTTGCAGTTACGCCGGCAGATAAGTCTGTCCAAAAATCACACAGAACGAGGAACGAAGCATTTCCAAAGGTAGCGACCACAGAAAAGTCCATTTTCCGCAAGATCTTGACCACAAAATGTAGCATTTTCCATTGGCAGTGGACGATCATGGCTTCCATTGCAACGTATTGGGTTCTCGTTCCCAGAATCCTCGCGGCACTAGATTTCCCGCGAATTCGCGATTTTCGTGTTCTATTTTCAGGAAAAATCGCGCAATTAAATACTCGCGAAATATGGCTCATGATTTTTCGTTTCTCGCGAAATTAAGTGAGAAAATTAAAGGTGATACAAGAGTTTGTATGGGTAATAGGACTTACATCAAGTAAATAAGCTAGAACGGATAAAACTCATTAATAAAGTATAAATATTGTTACTTACATGTGTGTTTCTTTTTTTTTTCTACGAAGTTTCAGCTCTACTTGCCCAGAGTACCATCATCTAAACTAACGGTGTAATCCGTAAAAACTGCTCAAATCTCGCTGTAACGACGGTTACAGAAAAAAAACCAACGACACCGAGAAACAATGTTTATACTTAGTTGAAAACTTTTACCCGTTTTATTTCATTTATTCGATGTAAGTTTTATTTGCCATACAAACTTCAATTATTTTGACCCGTAAAAACTCTCATATTGAGCTTGGGTTACCCTGTGCGAAAAATAGATTTTCCCCTTTGCTCCAAGATGGCCTCACCCTAAAAGCTGAAGTTGCGTTTTAAACTTTTTCAACCTCCTAAAACATACCTAAACATCCATTTTTCCAAAAACAAGAACGCTCTAAAAAGCGTTCAGTCTCGCTTGCTTCGAGATTACATAAGAAACAAGACGCTCTAAAAGTGTTGACTCGAACTTGTTTAGAGATAAGATAACAAATAAGGAGGCAATTAATTCTTAAGGAGCCTGTTTTCGGGCATGGAAGCCATAAGGACCATGAGGAGAACGAGAATATAAATGCTAGTTAGCCGAATAATGAGGGTACGCGGGTTCAACCGCCACCAGGGGAGGTGGGAGGGGCGAAACCTCGAAGTCATGGCCAATGAACTCCGTTAAACTGGCCAAGAGGCGGACAAAAACCCAGCAAAAACCAAGCAATTCTAACCAAGGGCCGTAATGCATCATGACCCACCGCGCAGGCCCAACACGACGGAATTTTAAAGAGTTACTTGTTTTACTGGCCAATTGTATATGCAGTGAGAATAGTCAGAAACTTGACATGCCTTCCGTTTTAAAACTGGAAAAAGATTATGATGTTACTGGTGGGTAACTGAACTTGCGCCCATTCCCTATCCATTAATTATTATGTGGGTAGACCCTAATAAAAACTATGGGATTGCTTAAAGGTGTTTTTTTTTTATGAAGTTATACCTAATTGCAATAACGTTGTCATAGAAAAAAGCAAAAAGCAAAAAGCCAAATAGGAATTGATTAGCCATGTGATTTACATTTGCATATTTTAATAATTTAACAATTATTTAAGAAGTCATTCACAATAACAAGAGATAATTCTGTAATTCCGTGCTCTAAGATAGACGCCATTGTCATTTTAGAGCCAACATTCTCCATCAACAGAAGTCGCACACTTCGAAATTCGCTAGATGAATCAGCCTCGAATTGCATTAGAATGACACCAAGAAAATGATGCAAGTGATTTCTCTCATATTATTCAGCTGTAAGCGTGTGTGTTGTGAATATTGCCAGCTATGATAATTACATGCTAATTAATTCCTATTTAACTTTTTGCTTTTTGCTTTTTTCTATGACAACCTTATTGCAATTAGGTGTAAATTTTAGCAATGAATAAAAACACATTACCATGGACATTCTCCATCATCCTTCTGCTCCTCCTCCTCGTCCTCCTCCTTCTTCTTCTTCTTCTTCTTCCTTTGTGGCGTTTCCTTAGCTACTAAAAGATACTAAAAACTTATACTAAAAAATGCAATAATTATAAATTTAAAGTCGGTGAAAACTCATCCAGTGATGTCTAGGTAATTATACTGTAATTTCAAGGAATCTTCCACTGTGAAAAGGCAATATGAGGCAGAGGCCTAGGCTAGACCTTGTGAATCTACGACACCAAAGAAACATCAACGAAGACGTCAGTATGAAAAATAAAAAAAACATTTTTCAAACTACTACAAAAATAAATACACTATTCCAATTTGTAGGCTGGTAGATTCTATTGGAAATGAAGTCCTGCAAGCAGAGTGCGTGACAGTCAAGTACAAAGCTACCCGCAACATACCTGTGTCACATACGTAACGAATAGTTGAAGGTTAAGTCGTTAGTATCTCAAGTATTTACAAATTAAAGTGCAATGCGACCTCACATCTTAATAACAACTGCAAAAATCTATCAATTTTAACTAAATTCTAAAATTTAAACCCTAAACCTGTTTAAGACAAAATCGCTTGTTTCTCGTTCCCTTGTGCATGTAGAATTAGGAGGTTTTCAAACTAACATCGTGTAATTAAAGATTTTGTGGAAAAACATTTTGGTACCACGTCTGAATGTAGACCGCTTCTCGCGAACCGTTACACTCTTTTAAAAGCCTCTTGTCCAAAATGACACCCCGTATTCAAGATGCTAGAAAATGAAATTGTATAACATGTTTTAGACTCAAGACTCTGGAAACCAAACCCTGTTCAGAGGCACATATTTTACGTCAAATAAGGGAATGCCCAGCCCCCCTCCCTCTGGGGTTCTGAGAAGGAATCCCGACCGGTAAGAGACAAACCAGTTGGCTCTCCCACCGAAAATATTTTTCGGAGGGAGAGAAGCGACGACCAGAAATGCGTCTGCTGTTCGCAGGCTAGCTTGTATGCTGATTTACATGCATGCATGGCTAAAGCAGGCAGTGTCTCTCATAAGAAACAAGCCCAGCTTGAGGAACAAGGAACGTCTGGCTTTATTATAGCAGCTGTTTGATTAAATGACATTCAGCTTTAGCAAAGCCGATTTGAAGTCTTGGTCAGTCGGCTTGAGTTATGTCCAGCCTTGCACCAGACTCCTTAATGGAGAAAAAGGGGAAAAAAAGATAGCTAGGCATAAGGAGGGGAAAAGGGCGGTGGCCATTCCCCCACTTCCCCTCTTCCCATCTCGTCCGATATTAAGCCCCGTTTCCCCAAACGGAGGGGCTTTTCACGGGCTAAGTTGTGTACAAATCGGTGGTGGGGTCTTTGGGGTGGGTTCAAAGTGATATATAGTGGGTAGGATGGAATAGTACTAATGAAATATTCTCCAGATTCCCAGAGGTTGGCATCTATCCCATTTGAGTACAACGTAAGCACTTCAGCTTCCGTAGAGGAGTTGCAGCTTACCCCCTCCCCCTACACCTGTGCCTCTGTGGGGGTGGGCATAAGTGTGCTTTAACGCACGCGAAAAGAGTAGAACTGTAATGATCAAATAATTGTTCTGCTGAGTGTCAGTCTTAAACTGTGCACAGTAAAAGTTTAAAAAACTTATCCTAAACCCAATCATGATTATCATCATTCCGCTCACGATGAACTAAAAGTTAGATGGCTGTTCAGCGTATTACCGCCTTTTTGTATGTTAAACCGCGAGTGTCACACGCACGTTTAAGATCTGGCCTGTAAGAAATTATGAAATTGCTTAGATTAGAACGCCAACAAAAAGATTTCTTTAAATCCATTCCGAATTCGCTAATTACTCTTTCTTTCTTATTTATTTGGCATTAAAACAACGACCTTAATACACTCCCGAAGTTCCCTCGAAGGGATTATGACACGGCTTGCGTAGCGTCCTTCCCACGCTCCGTTCTTTCTTGCTCCCATACTCCTTTCGAACTAGAGCTGAGATTTGTTTTGTCGGTTTATTAATAAGCGCTTGCCGATTGGCGCTTATTGATGCAAAACAAAAATAACACTCCCTTTTTCTAATTGCAAAGTTTTCGAAACAGTCAAACAACGTAAGTCTATGCAAATGCAAACAAGAGGTTGTCATGCTTAAAATGTCTAACTTTTAGATTCATCGATGGGCCATGTAACTTAGAACACTTTGTTTCTTTATGAAACATGTCCAGGAGTCTACAAGAAAGAGGCTTAGCTAGCGAATGTGGCGGCAGAAAGGTACGTTCGTTAGAAAGTAACTTCAGGGGAATTGTGTACTTCACAGATCGTTTCACAGCGCATTTATCGAGGCATCATAATGTATCCACCGTGATATTTCACATTTAATATATAGTGCAGTTTTATGAAGATTGATTTTGATGTTCGGGATAACGTGAAAAATTCCGATCGATGACCAGATTTTGCAATTTTAAACGTTTGCAAACCATTTTCATCAGAGAGCATATCGGAAAAATGGATAAACAATTCATGAAGTAGATCGTTATTTATTTATTGGTCTTAAATGCCCCGGCTCTTAGCTCTATTAGCTTCTAGCTTCTTGCTCAATGAAAGTTTAACTCAAGCTTTCTGTCGCCATAAGCTTATGTGCTCGCTATATTTAGTACAAGTCCACAGTTGAGAAGAATATGGAACGAAGGAATATTCTTTGCGATCCTAGCAAATGAAAGACATATCTTTATATTTCCGCCTTGAAGAAACCAGGCCGCGTCATAGGCTGACACGGTTGATAACCCAGGCGCAGTCATATACATTGCGCGTTTTATATGACACGTACAATTTACGGTTCTTCTGCTTTTTGGGAACAACAGATCAGACAAGCAGCGCTTTTGTCAGGAAATTGTCACAAGTGAACGAAAAGCCAATGATTATAATTATAATCAGTGTATGCAGTCAAATGATAACTTACAAGGCAGTGAAAGCTAATTCATGGCTTCAATATTGATTATCGTACTTAAATATTGAAAATGGACAAACAAGCAATATGATTATGATGACGGTAAGAGTGAGCTCACTTATATTCTTATATTCATGTCGCGGATATGAGTCCATGTCTGCGTTGTCGTCAGTTTCAACATCTGTTTTGCTCGTCAGAGCTGTGTTGCTCAGGTTGATTGTTTTGTTTTGTTTTGTTTTTTTCACTATCCTTCTCTTTGGCATTCGATAGACTGATAATTTGTTCATTCAGTTTGCTTCAAAAAGTTGATTCTCTCTTGATAATATATAATGCTGGCTTCTAAAAACTACCTAGCAGTAAATGATTTCCGAACTTTCTATGTATTTGCTTCCATATTCCCAAGGAAAGCCGTGTCTCTTGTAATTATAATAACTCCTTACGGTCCAGTAAAGCGGAACTCAGTTAAGCGGACCTCAATAGCTTTTGTCCTGCTCATGCGCTCCCTAAATCATAGCCAGCTCAAAGCGTCCACGTTCGTACTAAAAATCAAGCTGGTGTATAGACTAAATGTCATCGATGACGGATGTATTGGGTATTGTATGTAAGTTTTTATAGTAATGGTGCTCCTATTAATAGATTCGCATATTTCTAATTTGTATACGATTAACAGTGTTCGCCAACTGTCTTTACGCGTGACTTCGTCTTTATAGTTTCATGGTCTCGTAATCGTAAAAAAAAACAAACAAACGGAGAAAAAACATGCAGGACGGAGCTAGTTCATCGTTGTGGTAAACGAACTCACGTTTTATCTTTCTTGCCAACGTAGGTTAAGAATGAATTTCCAAGACATGAACGTTTTCTTTCGCATCAAATTTGCTAAATGGCGACTGCAGCACCTTCACACCTAGCCAGCTCTCCAGAGAAGACAAATGGAAACAAGCTGAGCAGGCTTCTCATCGATGGTGGAACAACGGTGCTGAGGAATATTTTCGATCACTATCACCCACCTGTCAACTTGGCTTCTGATCTCAATTCCAATTACTCCGTTCTTAACAACCTTTTGCGTAAAAGAGTACTTAATGGCCATCAGTGGGACAAACTCTTCCCCCCTAGTGGAGGGGTACCAGACTCCAACACGTTTGACATCACTCTTCTGTTCCTGCTGCTAACTACCATTTGCGGCTTATCCCCTCCCCTGACAGGATGGTACACCAAGCCGTCCCCTAGTGACAACTCTCTTGAGGCTAACCTTGCCCGCGTCAAGTTCTTTCGCAATGAGCTATATGGTCACGTGACTTCCACTGGTGTAGATGCGACATCTTTCTCCTCCTTCTGGCAAGAAATAAGCATTACTCTTCATTCTCTTGGTTTAGATCAAGCAGAAATTGACAGACTGAAGGCAGAGCATGGAGGAGAGGAAGATTACCTTGATGCTATAATTGATTGGGCTGACAGTGAACAGGACATAAAATCCCACCTGAAGGATATACACCTGACGCAACTAAAACTTAGTAAAACAGTTGAAGATAGCACTTTAAAGCTGGAAGAGCTACGTCAAGACCTAAGCAAAACTCAGGATGTCGTAGATGAAGCAGTGGAAATAGAACTCAAAGGACAACAAGAAATGAGGGCAGTACAGTCACGTTTAGAGGGAGTATGTGAGTCCCAATCCAAAACCAGCCAAGCTGTAGACGAAATTCGTGAATCAATTCAAGAAGTAAAACAGGAAGTAAAAAGCTTGACGCAAAAGAGAAACGAGCGGGCAGATGAGGTGCTGAGAACTCTTGTGAAGTCCGAATTCAAAGGAGACATAGATTTTCATGCAAAGAAATTCCAGGAAGGAACTCGTGAGTGGATCTTCAAAAGCATTAGAGACTGGTTAGATGACCGAGCATCGCCACATCGCGTGATGGTAATCAGTGGAAATCCAGGGATGGGAAAGACTGTTATCTCCGCTGTTGTTTCGCAAAGAATGCAAATAGCTGGAAGATTGTCAGGAAGCCACTTTTGTCAGCATGACGATTCACGGTACCGAGATCCACGTTTAATGCTCCAGTCTTTGGCCTGTCACTTGTGTCAAGCGATGCCAAATTACAAAGATGCCCTGGTGGAACAGCTGTCAAGAAATCTGGGTAAAGACCTCAACAACATGGGCGTAAAAGAGCTTTTTGCGTTGCTGTTCAAAGAGCCTCTAAGCACAGTACAAGATCCTGGAAGAAACACCTTAATAGTCATTGATGGCCTCGATGAAAACGAGTACCAAGGACACAATGAGCTTCTACATGTAATCAGTAACCACTTTTCTATGCTTCCAGTTTGGATTAGAATTTTGATCACAACTCGTCCAGAGAGAAGCATAATAGACGCATTGCGACATTTAGAGCCAATCGAGCTTGAACAAAAGCAAGAAGAGAACTTAAATGACATTCAAACCTTGTTTGAAATACAGCTAGGCCACCAAATCGCTGAAGAACATAAAGATATTCTTTTGAAAGAGCTGGTTAAGAAATCAGAAGGCCTGTTTATTTACGCTTACTTTTTAGTGGATTTTATCCAAAAGAATGTTTCAATTCTCACTCCTGATCAGCTGGAAAGGGTATTGCCTTCACATATTTCATCCGTTTACTTGTCCTATTTCAAACGTTTAGAGAATGAACTTTGCAAAGCACTTAACGCAGATGAGGAAACTTTTTTGCGTTTCCTGTGTGCATTGACTGCTGCAAGGGAACCATTACCAGTAGAATTTATTGCCAAAATTCTAAACCTGGAGGTAAAATCTTTGGCTGCGCAGCGAAAAGTTAACAAAGCAATATCTTGCATCTCTACACTGTTACCAGTTCGCGAGGGTCGTCTTCACTTCTTTCACAAGTCAATCAAGGACTGGCTAGTAGCATCATCGCCCTATGAACAACATGATTTCAAGGTGGACGAGAAAGAAGGTCATATTGTCCTTTCTGATCTTTGTGCCTCTGAACTGGATGGCATCAAGCAAAAAGGGGTTCATGGCAGACAGTTTACGAACACTGAAAGATATGCCTTGCATCATGGTACCCAGCACATGCTGGAAGTTAAAGCAGGACAGGTCTACCAATATGCAACGGACCTAGAGCTTATTTATGCAAAACTTTGTATTAAGAGCACATCCATCATAGAAGATCTTCTCGGTCTTCACGGCGATAATTCCAGTATTCTAAGCGACGGAAGAGTTTTTTTTGTGCCTTCTCTCCTCAGTCTATTAAGAAAACACTCTTATTATCTCCTTGATCATCCTCATCTTTTCTTCCAATGTTTGATTAACGAAGGGATTCCTGAATTGTCGTCTTCAGCAGCAATTATCCTTGAATCGTCAACACCCAAAATACCCTTCATGAAATACTTAGACAACGAAGAACAAAAGGGAGCCGAGCAGGCACGATTTTGCTGTTCCCACAAAGTAGTATGTTTTGATGTGTCACCTGAAAGGGATCACTTGGTATGCGAGTCTTCAGATTCAACAATACATCTATGGTCTCTTCAGACGGGCAGCAAAAAATGGGTTCGACCGATACTAGCAAATAAGGAGTTTTTCTCCTCTGACGGATATCCAGCGGACACTGCATATCGCCGTGTAGGCCGAAACTTCTTATCATTTTATCGTTCCGTGACATTTCACCCAAGTGGCAAATTAGTACTTCCAGGAACTCTTAAATTCGTCTACACTATAAGTGGAGAAAGAGAAAAACTTTTTCCTGACAGCGATTGTACATTCGCAAATTGTGCCTATTGCAAGCACAAAAATACTATTTTAACGGACTGCCCTACTGAGCCAAAGCGCCTAGATTTGTGGAACATGGAAAATGGCAAAATACTTCTTTCCATAGTCGATATTAAGGAACTACAAGACATTTCTTCTTTTGCCATTTCTGAAGAAGGAGAAAAAGTTGCTATTTCTGATGTTACTGGTAATATTTTTCTTGTTGATTCAGTCAATTTAGACTTCACACTGATATGGAAAAGTAAAGCAGTGTGTGGATTGATCCATTTTACATCTGATACCAACTTTCTTGCGTGTGGCTATCTTCGTTTATGGTTATACGAAGACCGAGGCTTCTATAAAGCTGAATTCTTTGACCCACCAAAGCTTTTGTTTTTGCCTTATTCTAGTAAGGCTGAGACCTTTCATTTGTGGCCATCCACTTCCTCAAGTTCCTTGAATAGTTGCGATTTTATGCTGCAAAATACGACACGCTGCTGGGTCAGGAACGTAAGAAAAGTATTCCCCCGCCTGAAGGCAGGTTCTTACACGCGACTTAATGTTGAAACAGTATTGGTTGGTAGCCCAGATTTCAATTATGTTGCAGTGTTAAATATTGGCCAACTAAACGGGGCGTCTGATTCTGATTCGTCTTATTCATATGGATATGAGGACGAACTTAAAAGTATTGCCCTTTCTGTTAAGGGAGATACTATTTATTCCACTACGTCAAAATATGACTGTCGTACATATGAAAGTAAATTAACCGTAACCGTTTTGAGAATGTCAAATCGAAAAATCCTGGACACAAAAATATTCTCTGAATCTGTGTCCATTGTTCCAACGGGGAAAGGTGTTGTCCTGTTTAAGAATGGTACGGTAGCAGAGTTATGGAACTTTGAGATGTCTACGTTCCTTCGTCCTCTTTTCGTGGGTATCGAAAAAGGAAATCTTTGCTCTATTTCGCCTGACCAGTTAGCTTATTGGTATGTAACAACTTCAGATGAATCAGGCCATGAAATGGAAACCCTCGTTATCAAATTCTACGATGTAACTGGAGCTGGAAGTGGGTTTAGTTCACCCTTGAAGATCACTTTTGATGCTGGTGAAGAGGTAGAGTTAATTTCGGTAATTAGTCCAAACCTGGTGCTAAGTTGCACCTCTAAGGTGGTAACATTTGGAACAACAAAGTCAGCGGATGACGTGACCGTCAGTTTAAGAAAAAATGGTTCAGTTGTATGGAAAAGGCGAACTTTAGATGAGGAATTTTTTCAACCACACCTGCTTTGTTCTCCTAAAAATGAGTTTGTTGTCACGTGGAACACACTGGATGGAGGTAATGGCCTACATATACTCAATGCGGATAATGGAGAAACGCTGCATGTCTTCCTTAGAGACCAGAAAGCTATTATTGACTGCAAGTTTTTAGGTGATGAATCTCTGATTTTCTGCAGCAAGGAAAACTTTCTTCGTTTGTATAGTGTTCGAACCGGGGATATGCTTAGTGTGCTAGACATTGGAGAGCGACCATTTTGTTTGGGAGCCTGTCTGTACCAGCCTCTTGTCGCAGTTGGTTTGTCCGGCACAAGAACAAAATTCGTCCATGTACAGCTGTCAACAGAATCTAAAAAAAGGTGAGTTTTCCCTTAAAATGTCAAAAAGGACGTTTGTGCATTTTGCATAAGCTAGCCGTTCTCACACCACAACATCATGGGTGACAAACAATTCAGTGGAACCTTGATTTAGCGAACCTCTATATAGTGAAGTCCTCAGTGTAACGAACGATTTTCTTCAGCCCGGCCAAAATTACAGTAACATGTATGGAACAGAACCTTGATTTAACGAAATCCTCGCTTTTTTGCGAACACAATCCACAAGCGCAAACGTAAAGTATAACTCGATATAACGAATAAATGTCAACCTGTGATAAAAGATGAATGCCAAACAGACCAGCAAGGATAAAATTTACGTGTACAGTAGTTTTAAGCAGTTTTGTTTGCCTGTTCTTGAGTTTTTAGAGCAGTAGCTCGGCTGAGATATTTTTACAGTAATTTTTCAGATCCGGAAAATTAATGCTGGATTCTGTAAATTAATCATTAACTATACCTCGATATAACGAACATTTTGGTAGTTTTCCCGAAAATTCGTTAAATGGGGGTGTTCGATATAAAGAACCCTCGATATAACGAACAAATTTCCCCAGTCCCTTAGCACTTCGTTAAATCGAGGTTCCACTGTATTTTATTCTTCCTCAGTTTGCACGTAACGTAAAAAAACACCCAATTACCTGTAAAGGAGTTAGACCAGGGAACATACGAGTTGCCTGCTGAGAGTTGAGCATGATCAACTCAATTCAACTTGTCTTTTTTTTTTTTGCCATGAATTCAGACATGCGGGGCCGTAGCTACCTGTACGCCAGTAAAAAAAAACAGGTACTGTAAAAAATGTCGAAGTTTGATAAAAAACAAACCAAAATTTAAAAAAACTGCAATTGTCTATATTACTCTATTTAGACCTAACCCCGATTTTTCGACGCGCAAACCGACACGAAGGCCGTTACCGTTGCCTGCAGAACACGGTCCAAAGCCACGAGAGATGTTTACCTAACAAGATTGATAACAAGACTGGAAACCATTCCGGTCATGAGTCATTCCCGCTAAGATAAGCGAAGCTTACCTGCGGGCTCACGTTAGTTTGTATCAATGTTTGCATGATCATATTGATTATTAAATTGTTATCAGTGTAGCTCTTAAAGAACTGGTACTTTTTTCCCTAAATTTCTTAGCAACTCGAAGATTGTTTTGACAAAATTAACATGTGATACGGCATCAAATTTCGTGACTATAATTTTCTTGCATTTCAATTTCTGTAAGTAGTGAATTTCAATCTTCGAAAACTGCGAAAATTAGAATAAGGTTACTTGATAAGCTTCCAGGTTACTTTAATTAAAACTAGACTTAATTTCTTTTTTTTATTGCAGTCTCAATTACCAAACACAAGTGAATTGAGCAACATCTGATGAGCTGACACTCGATGAAAACAGGTGGATTTGGCAAATCAGCGTGCACGAACTCTACTTTACTGACTTCAGTTTTTTAATGAACTTTGAAACTTTGTATGTTAACACAGTGGGGGAACAATAGAGACTGGGAAATTGGGGTCCGGATCTCCGTTAATGCACCCATTAGACCGGATGATTTTAAACAATTATTGGATGAGGTTTTTGGGATATTCGGAATAATCAAGGCTGTGGCTGATAACCCGAGACCTTGATTATTTAGGATATGACAAAAACCTAATGTAATATTAATACTTGTTTCAATATTATACATTGTTTTGAAGAAAATAACGACAAACACACCGTCGCAAGGAACCTATTGCGGGCGCAACCTAGCTACAGTACAGAATAGTCCGCGAATCTGCTAGCAGATAACTAACTCATCTGTAGGTTGCGCTGATTTCTAAAATTAACTCGGTAGGCTCTTAGCCAGTGAGAAGACAGATAATGAGTACAATGTATAATAATTAAAGTAATTAACCGACTGCTTTAAAATTCAGTGTTATTCAGGCTGAAGACTCGCATATAACGGTCATCTCGTAGCTTACAAATGAAACTTGCCTTGCACTTCAAACGGTAGTATTGAAATTGACGAAATCTGGACCACATTTATCACCGATCACGATACAAGCGTTGAAGGTTGGTCAAACGTCCCTTTTGTAAGCTTCAATCCACGTCCATCCTTGTCATCCGTTGCAACATCCAAACGACAGTAATCAGTTTCAATGCCTAAATATTAGCCTGCGAGCTATTAGGGCGAGCGAAGCGAGTCTCGCGAGAACTCGCGAGCGAGCGGCGAAGCCGCGAGGGGCAGAGGAAAGGAGAGCTTGCAACGATCTCTCATAAAATTTCACTTGTACTTTCGCTCATACGAAGGGAAATACAATTGGCTCCTTTCCTCGGCCCTTCGCTCGTGCGTTCTCGCAAGGCTCGCTTCGCTCGCCCAAACAGGAGAGCTTTCTCGCAGGCTACCTAAATATAGTCTTTATTAACCGAAACTGGACCGAAAAACGTTTTAGCGTTTTAAAAAGAAAGCAAATAGTGTGTTAAAGCCCCTTTTAGTCAGCTCACTGAATCCAGTTTTTATTTCTTATTACTTAAGGGAGAAGGGGAAGTGGGTTCTTTTTCCCGCAAAATCGCTGGCAATAAATCCAAATCATAACTTATTCCGTTACTTTGTTCTGCATATATTACATTTCATGGCTGTTAAAGTCAAGTTGTTTTTAAAAAGTATTGTAAATTGGACATGTGTGGAATTCTAATACAACGAACTGTGAGGAGACTGAGATGAATTGCTAGTTTTAACGGGGTACTTGATAGGGTGGAAGTTCGATATAACAAACTCCCGTTAAAACGTACGGTCCTTTGGCACTCCGTTATTACGAAGTAATATTACGTCTGCGTCTTATTCGATACTTAGGCCCGGTTCCGACACCTAACTTTTCATGAGCCGAGCCTAATTCGAATTAAGGCCTACCCAAACTACTTAGACAGCCTGAATTGATTCAGACCCCAATCTTTATTCCAGACGAACTAAATACAAATAAAAGGATAAAAATGCTCATTTTGGTCAAACTGCTTGCAAAATGCGTTATTATAATTTATGCATTAGGTTGGGTACATGAAAAGTTTGTCGTCTGAATCAAAGCCGTTCCAAGGTTGTTCCACAGTCGAAATTCCCGGCCAGGCTAGGCGTGAAGAACGGCTGAGCCGTTCCAAATTGAAAAGATCGGCGTCTGAACCGGGTCTTAGGCCTTTCGAAGTCAGGTCCCCCGAGCTCCTATCTTAGGGTCCGGATGAGCGGGCCCTTCAATGACGTCAAGATCTGGACCCGTCCCCAGCACTTTACCAGAGTTTTTTCGCAGGCGATTTTTCTTTCTTTAGTTCTTACTTCTCCTTCTTCTTCCTCTCTCAAAACAACTGGTTGAGTTATTTTAGGACGTGGACCAGTAATTCTCTTGTTATCTACGGAGAGGAGGGAGGTACAGGAGGGTAAATCTCCCTCCCCCTACTTTTTCAGCCAATTTCTCCCTCCTCCCTAAACTTGGTTTAAAAATTGGCGGCGGGCAACACACGACTCCTGCACTTAGTCGTAAAGGAAGTTATCCGACCCTCAGAGCTTCGCCTATACACCAACATACCACAAAAAGAGGGCGTAGCCACGGTATGTCACGCATACGAATATGTTTATGGAGAGAAAGCCCCTATACCTACTAAGTATCTAAGAAAAAATACTCTATACAGAAAACTCGTTCCAATTTTGCAGTAGCAACTACCTACAGACCTATGGAACAGGCTAAGGAAGTCCCAGGAGACCCAAGGGGGTCGCAGTGTACTTCAAATTCCCAGTCCCCCATCCCTTGTCATCACGCAAGTTTAATTAAAAAAGCCATAAAATTATCTTCTCATCGATATCTCCCTGCTCCCAACGTTTTGTTTCCACCCTCCTTCCTACATTTTCGCACCGATTTCTCCTTCCTCCCTACCTTTTCGGGCCATTTCTCCCTCCTGCCTATTCTGTTCCTCTCCACTCTTTACGGCCATCGTGAAGGGTGCACGGACAACAGGATTTTGCCAGACGTTCTATATCGGATGCGGAAAACTGGGACTAGGTAGGAATGGAGATGGGGTTATTTTTGTCGGTGGAAGGGGAAACGCTTCATGGTACGGGCTGCTCAGACTCTGTGGCAGTTCATGGGAATGTGATTTTTATAAAAGAATAAATGAGAACAAAGAAAATGCTTTCCAAATTGCGCTTTTTAAAAACATCTTGAAATCTAAAACTCGCCAAAACGACTTCAAAATGCCCTCAGGGGGAAGCTGACTGTAAAACACACAACACAAACAATGACTCATTGTTATTTGGAATCTTTTTAAAAAAGCGGAATTTAGAACGTATATCTGTCTGATTTTAGAAAAAGGTACCTATCTCAGAATCCAAACCATTGGCTAGTGTAGCTTTCTAACTCACTGTCGTACCGGAACGGTCAAGCAGCAAACAGTAGTTTTCAACAACAACAACGATTTATTTATTAGCGAATGATAAAATGGTGCTATACAGTGAAACCCCTTGCCTAAGAACCTATATTTTAAGAACCTGTTTAGTCTAGAAATTGAAACAATTTCTTAGTTTCTAAAATCTCTGAAAAAAATTTGCCTGTACCCTTGGGCAAAAGTTAGATCAGTCACTGTTCAGAATCCTCTTTGAAGACATACCTGCATTATCGCTCTAACTGGACTGTTCAAATGCCAATGAGGTCAATACTTATTTGGTGTGCAGATTTTATATGAGGAATAAGTTGAACCACTAAATTCTCTTGGCTATATTGTATGGTTCTTATTCAGAACATAACCTATGTAAGAACCTAAATAGCCTTAACCTGTACTAACTACCATTTATATATTAAAAAGAATAACCTGTTTAGGATAACTTTGAAAAATCCAGGTTCTAGGCAAGGCGAAGGAAACTGAGGTGCTGCGTTAAAGAGGAAGCTAATTAGGACACACGATTAATGTTCAAGTGAAAGGTATATAATGATAACCTTCAATCGTCAATCTCGCTGCCCTCTTGGATACATGGTAGGGCAGCATAAAAACGCTCGGCACGTTCACTTAAATATTTTCTAGCTAGATTTAGACACTGCTGCTTTACATCTTCACGAATTGGCCTTAGTTCCTGCCTCAGTGTGGTCAGTAGGTCTATTCGCAGTGGAGTTGCTTGCCTTTTTTCTTTGTGTACGAAACTAGCCTGGGTTGCTGTTTTGGGTCAATAGTGAAACGCACGAAGGCGCAGTCGGGATGATCTACAACTTTCAGATTGCCCCTGTCATCAGGCTGTTCCCCAATTCCAACATTAATCCACGCGATTTCTTTGACCTCAAATTTCTCGTGCTGTAAATCTTCGTTTCTACTGACGTATTTTAACTTTAAAAATGACTTGTAGTCCTTTATCATGTCCAGACCTACCCAATAGACCTTGACGTTTGATAAACCACTGCTGACTAGAACGTTTTCCCAGTCTTTGGGTGTTTCAATTTTCTCTTGGGCGTTAAAAACTTTTTGAATGTTTCCAAAATATCTATCGCACACACTATACGAGTGGCCCTCCAACAAAAATTTTAAGTCTGTTCGTAGGAAGTCTCCTCTTGTGACCAGGTAATCCATATAAAAAAATAGAAAGTTTTGCTTAAACTGAGCCGGAGAATTGTCACACCACACTATAAGATGGTCATACCTGTCTCGGCCTTGCTCCGTCTGAAGTTTTTTGAGAAAATAGTCCAAGATTGAGATCACTTCATTTGGGCCTACACCAGCAATAGACTCGTCGTACATAAAACAGTGTATAACCTCCTGGTTTGCGCAGTATATACCCATTAGGCTTGTTCTGAGCTTTTTTGAGTAATACCAGTCTTGAGAAGACACCTTTGGTGTAGGTAAGCTTTTGTGAAAATCCATATGCAAAGTAAGCGTTTTCGAGGCCATTTTAGTCCATGCAAAGGGGCCTGACTACGTGAGGCTCAACACATCGTGCCCTCTTTAACGCAGTACTCAGTTTACTTTGAAACTTATGTCTTCAGTTATTTACAGCTTGCGCTAGTGGCTCGATATCAAAAAAAAAAAAAAAAAACACTACCGTTATCACTTACGTTTGCGACAGTCATTGGAAGAGAAACTTAAGAGAGCGCGCGCAGGTCTTGCACACAGTTGTCTTCACATTAGAGACCCCAAGCAAAGACGACTTTGAGCGATGCACGTCAACCGGAAGTGAGGCCTTCTCTTCTTTTATATGCCTTGACGCTAAAAATTTGTATTTCTAAGTTTCTTTTCTCTTATAAAGACGATTTTGCCCGGGATTTTGAACCCATCCACTGCCCAATGTTGCAAAAAGCCCACTTCCGGTTGACGTCCGTCGCTCAAAAACGCTGTTGCTTAAGCTCCTTTTGGAGCCAAGAGTCACGTTTGCGGCAAACGGCAAACGTGAATTTGTACCACGTGACCAAGTGTTCCCTGTTTCTTGTTGTGAAATTCTCAACTTGAATCTGACGTTTGCTCTTTTCCGTAAAAGAGACTCTAAATATCTCTGTTCAGTCTGCCATGGCTCACGGTTTCCTGTACTTTTTTTCAGGGGCACCCAACGTCAATTTTCGGAAAGTATCTGTTCGGAAGACGATTTGAGATCTAGAATTTTCGGAACATTTGTTGTAAAATTTCTTGTTTGCCTTCCTCTCTTAGGATTTTCGAACATTTAAAAAATGTTATAATTGCCCATTTTTAACGGATTTTTTTTACTTTAAAAAGGTCTCCTAGAATTTTCGGGAGCCTTTTTTTCTGGCTGAATTTTCGAAAAGGTAAGTTTTGATCCCTATAATTTTTGGATCACTAGAATTTCAGCTAGGAAATCCGAACAGATGAAAAATTTTTTAGGGGATAAAAATATGCCTGTATCTACCCTTCAAATACTAAAATACGTTAAACAAAGCTATGTTTAAGTGGTTTTGAACTATATTCTCGTCGGGTGCCCCTGTTTTTGAACTGGAATTGAATGTGTTTAAGTGAATCTTTTTCCGTGATGCGGTGTGTATTTTGTATCAGTACGGGGACTTTTTATGTAATGAATAATTAAGAGGGATGACAATTCGAGGAGGGCGATTTTTTTTAAAACAGATATATAACAAATACGTAACCCTTTTCCGGATTCAGGCCCATGTTTCATGGTAGAAGGGAGGGCTACCCACCTATCATAAGGCATAGGAAGGTTGTACTTTCCTCAAGTTAACAAAGCCTTGATCTGAGACATGCGATTAGCTTTGGTAGGCTAAGGTAATAG